ATTCTTCCTCAGTTACACGGCTGAAAAATGGAAGCAGATTTCCACAACAGTCTCGGCACAGCTCATCTCTCAGATGGGATCCATGGTTCTCAAAGCTCACAAACCTCCTGCTGTTAATCAGAATAGGAGAACAGCTGAGACCTCCAGCGGAGGTGAAACAAAGCACGAAACGTCAGCGTTCAACAACACGAACACATGAAGCTGCCTTATACTTGATGCTGCCTTATACTTGATGGACCCTTGGTCAGTATTGTCTACTCAGACTGGCAGCAGCTCTCCAGGGTCTCAGGCAGAGAAAAGTCTTTCACATCACCTACCCTCTGGTACTTTTAGCTGGAGATTCCAAGGATTCAGGGCTCTTTTTGTAGAAAAAGCCCAGCAGGAACTCATTAGCATAATAGACCACACCCAACAGCAGAAACTCGTTAGCATATTAGGCCACACCCCCGATGACACAGCTCGTTAGCATATTAGGCCGCAACCCCCATGTCACCGGAAGTGTAATCATCCAGCCACACCCACCTTTTGCTTCTTATTCTGTTTACCCTGTTTGTTGTCAATACCCAGGGCCTTTTTTTGCAGCAGGAACTCCTTTGCATGTTAGGCCACACACCCCTAAGGTAGCCAATCCGAATGAGTTCCTGCCACTGGGTGTGGCCTATTATGCTAACGAGTTCCTGCTGGGCGTGGCCAACTCAGGAGCCAGCCGGAACTCCGTTCCTGTGCGTTCCTGCCCAAAAATAGCCCTGCAGGGATTGAACCTGGGACCTTCTTCATGCCAAGCGGTTGTTCTACCACTGAGCCACAGCCCCTCCCTAAACAGACCCTCGGTCCATCAAGGTCAGTATTGTCTACTCGGGCTGGCTAAGACTCCACAGGGTCTCAGGCAGAGGTCTTTCACAGCACCAGTGACCAGGTCATTTTAACTGGAGATGCTGCTGGGTACTGAACCTGGAACCAAGCAGTTGCTCTACCACTGAGCCACCATCCCTTCTCATGTCTGGAAGTGTCAGTCAGTCAGTCAGTTTATTATTACAGTCTTCGACCAGTACATAACAATTTAAAAGACAAATAGGCTGATTTCGCACTAGAGCTGCCTCGATGTTGCGCCGCCGTTTGCCCCAATACTATTGGTCAATTTCACACCCGAAGCCGCGGGGCTGCATTTGACCTGCGGCTTCGCCCGATTTCCTCCACAGTTTTGTGATCCTCAAAAAACAGGATCGTGAAACTGCGGGGGAAATCGGGCAAAGCTGCGAGTCAAAATGCAGCCCCGCAGCTTCGGGTGTGAAATTGACCAATAGTATTGGGGCAAACGGCGGCGCAACATCGAGGCAGCTCTAGTGCGAAATCAGCCTATTTGTCTTTTAAATTGTTATGTACTGGTCGAAGACTGTAATAATAAACTGACTGACTGACTGACACTTCCAGACATGAGAAGGGATGGTGGCTCAGTGGTAGAGCAACTGCTTGGTTCCAGGTTCAGTACCCAGCAGCATCTCCAGTTAAAATGACCTGGTCACTGGTGCTGTGAAAGACCTCTGCCTGAGACCCTGTGGAGTCTTAGCCAGCCCGAGTAGACAATACTGACCTTGATGGACCGAGGGTCTGTTTAGGGAGGGGCTGTGGCTCAGTGGTAGAACAACCGCTTGGCATGAAGAAGGTCCCAGGTTCAATCCCTGCAGGGCTATTTTTGGGCAGGAACGCACAGGAACGGAGTTCCGGCTGGCTCCTGAGTTGGCCACGCCCAGCAGGAACTCGTTAGCATAATAGGCCACACCCAGTGGCAGGAACTCATTCGGATTGGCTACCTTAGGGGTGTGTGGCCTAACATGCAAAGGAGTTCCTGCTGCAAAAAAAGGCCCTGGGTATTGACAACAAACAGGGTAAACAGAATAAGAAGCAAAAGGTGGGTGTGGCTGGATGATTACACTTCCGGTGACATGGGGGTTGCGGCCTAATATGCTAACGAGCTGTGTCATCGGGGGTGTGGCCTAATATGCTAACGAGTTTCTGCTGTTGGGTGTGGTCTATTATGCTAATGAGTTCCTGTTGGGCTTTTTCTACAAAAAGAGCCCTGAATCCTTGGAATCTCCAGCTAAAAGTACCAGAGGGTAGGTGATGTGAAAGACTTTTCTCTGCCTGAGACCCTGGAGAGCTGCTGCCAGTCTGAGTAGACAATACTGACCAAGGGTCCATCAAGTATAAGGCAGCATCAAGTATAAGGCAGCTTCATGTGTTCGTGTTGTTGAACGCTGACGTTTCGTGCTTTGTTTCACCTCCGCTGGAGGTCTCAGCTGTTCTCCTATTCTGATTAACAGCAGGAGGTTTGTGAGCTTTGAGAACCATGGATCCCATCTGAGAGATGAGCTGTGCCGAGACTGTTGTGGAAATCTGGTTCCATTTTTAAGCCGTATAACTGAGGAAGAATATTTTGAAACGTCTGGCATACCTGGGAAGGACGTCTTTTTGACTGCAGAAGTTCCTTTGTCCTTTGGGACATCCTCTGCCATCTTTGTGGACTTTGAGGTCCTTTGGGCACTATTTCATGAGAGGATTCAGAGGAGTCTCTTGTTGCTTACTACCATTATTGTGACCATTATCTTTGAATTGTGACCACCAGTTCTACTTTATTTATCGACATAATGCTACCATGTTTCAGTAGACTCGTGTCTACTGGCAACTTGTGAAATCTGTATGTTTGTTGATGGCCTACCCTTGCATTTTTGTCTCTTCATACGCCTATTCAAACCACGCTTCTCCTTGCTGTCTTCCAGAGGCCCCTGGGCTACTACCCCGATCAGCACTTCACAGAAGAGCAGCCCCAAAAGCTGATTGCTGAATTCCAGGAGTGCCTGGCTGAGATCTCCAAGGAAATCAACGAGAGGAACAAGGGACTTCCCATTGGCTACCTCTACTTGAACCCGACTGAAGTTCAGAACAGCGTCTCCATATAAGTGGGCTTCTCCCCGCTGGCACAGATCCTGCCGTGTACTGGGGATTTTTTTGGGTCTGGAATGCTCTCAGGTTGCCAACCTCCCGGTGGGAGCCCCTGGGGATCTCCCAGAATCACAAGTGATATCCAGATTATGGAGATCAGTCCTCTGGGAGAAAGTGGCTGCTTTGAAGGGTGGACTCTATGGCATTATGCCCCACTGAGTTCCCCTCTCCTCCCTGAACCCCGCCCTCCTCAGCCTGCGCCTCTAATATCTCCAGGTGTTTTGTGACCCGGAGTTGGCAACCCTAGGGCAAGCAGAATGCCTTCTTATTATGCAAATGAAGCATAACAAGATGTATTATGCAACTAAAGCACCCACGCTCTATGCCGCTTCATTTACAGTCTGCAAACATTATGATTTGGATTTATTTCAAGGCAATTTCCATTCCAGGGATTCTGCTTCTAGTATTTAGTCCATAACTTCCCTATCCACTTGCCACGCTTCCCCTGCCTCCACACGTCCACATGGGGGCGTCATGTTTGGATTGGACGTACAATCCAGTGCTGGCAAGCTGAATGCCTGCTCATTATGCAAATAAAGCGCCCACGCTCTATGCGACTTCATTTACAGAACAGCACGCCGCCAGGCCCCACTGCCCTGCCGCTAATCAGCGATGTGCCTACATACATCACTTCCGAAGTGATCTGGAAGGAACATTGGGGACGTTGGGGCAACACTCTGGTTCTGGGGGAAAACTCTATTGCAGAAGCTAAATTTACCATAGAATTTTTGCCCAAATATCAGAGCATCCCCCTAATGTCCATGACGTGCCTACAACACTTTCCAGTCATGCTGGAAGTGACGTGGGCACATCGCCGAGACATCGGCTGGGCCTCCCTCCTGCTCCTGGTAAGCCCCCCCATCCATCCAACCCCCACTGGTTGCAACCCGTGTTCCCTCTAAGCTGAGTTAGTGTGAGCTAGTTCACAGTTTTTTAGCCTCCAGCTCACACGTTTTTGTCTTAGCTCAAGAAGGACGGCTCCACAGCAAGCTAGTAGCCAAATCGCTCGCTCACAAAATTAATGCCAATAGCTCACAAAGTAGAGTATTTGCTCACAAGACTCCACAGCTTAGAGGGAGCATTGCTGGCGACCCTAGCCCAGAGAATCCCTGGATTCATTGCAGGAAATAGACTGCCTACAGTCTTAACAATCTTTACAATGCTAACAATATTCAATACCTTTTGCGTCATAACAAATTAAATACAAGAATAACAGTTTCCAACAATTTATTGTTTTATCTAATAAATCATGGAACTGGCGGGTTAACTTCCATAAACCACCTCCAACGTTTCCACCATATTTCTTTTTTTGTGTTCTGCTTTTCCTATATCCTCACTTGATTCAAGGAGTTCAGAAAACATCTAACTGTTTCTTTAACCAGGAACGACTTTTTGGAGAAGGATTCTACATGTCTGTTCTTTAAAATGGAGCTACGGTGACTGAAGTGGTTAAGATGCTGAACTGTAGGCTGTGGAAAGTCGGTAGTTCAGCAGTTCGAGACCCGAGTGCCGCATGATGGAGTGAGCTCCCGTCTCTAGTTCAAGCTCCTGCCAACCTAGCAGTTCGAAAGCAAGAAATTGCAAGTAGATAAATAGGTACCACTTCGGTGGGAAGGGAACAGCATTCCGTGCGCCTTGGTGTTTAGTCATGCCGGCCACATGACCACGGAAACATCTTCGGACAGCGCTGACTCTTCGGCTTTGAAACGGAGATGAGCACCACAACCCTAGAGTTGGATTTGACTGGCTTTCGAGCAAGGGAACCTTTACCTTTACCTATTCTTTAAAATAATGTGTATCATGATCAAATTAACTAACCTCACTATCGACCACAGCACTTGAAGTAATGGCGTTGGTTTAAATCTAAAAATAGCCCCACCTCTTCTCCTCAACCACCTTTGGCCAGGTTGTCCAAAGCCCTCTTCGGGGTGTAGGCCCAACACTACTACTTCCCATTTTTTAAATATAGCCCCCTCTTTCCTCTCCATAATACATGTTGAGACGGCATGGGTGATGGACTCAGGGGCTACCAGCTCCCAGTACACATCGAGGTGTTGACCTTTAACCGAAGCTAATAAGTGTACACATACCACCCTAGGACAAACCTGTAGATCCAGACTTAAACCAAACCGCATTTTCCCCACACAGAGAACTTGATGATAAGCCCTCCACTGAAGGGCTCTTAGAAAGAAAGGGATAGAATGATCACAAAATGTAGGGACTGGAAAAATTGGATTTCTAAGATATGGAGACAAAGACATTTTTAGACTTCTCCCCTGGTAATAGGGTTCTAATCTATTCTGGGTCAGAATTTTCCAATATAACTGTCCGGTATGGCCTTTCCCTCCCAATTGTTGATCCTTAATAAATTTTGCACTCACTGCATATTTCTTAATTGCCTTTTTCGCTTCCACAAAAAATTCAGGCAGGTAGTATATCATCGCTGCTGTCAACCTAGGTGAGGTATTTCCCCATTAAGGTTTAGGTTAGGGTAAGGGTTATGGCTAGGGTTAGGGCTTGGCTTAGGGTTACGTTAGAGTTAACATTAGGATTAGGGTTTATTTTATTGATTGATTTCTTGATTTTATTGATTTTTACCTACCTGAGGGACCGCCTTTCCCCGTATGTTCCCCCAAGAGCACTACGGTCAGGGGCCCAAAACTTGTTAGCCATCCCGGGCCCCAAGGACATCAAGCTAGCCGCTACCAGGACCAGGGCTTTCTCGGTGGCGGCTCCTACCTGGTGGAACGAGCTCCCAGGGGAGATCCGGGCCCTGCAGGATCTTGTGCAGTTTCGCAGGGCCTGTAAGACGGAGCTCTTCCGCCAGGCTTTTGAGTAGGAGCCGCCGCCCCTACTATACCACCACCGCCATGAGTCGGTTGAGGCCCTGAGGAAACATCAGAATGGAAGAAGCCCTAAGCCGCCTACGTGGAACTCCGGACCGGCGATCCGTCATCTTTGGACTATGGAAGTCTGAGCACCTTGTTTTAAATTAGGATTTTAAGATATATTATGTTTTAATCTATTATATATATTATGTTTTATTATGGCGAGGTCTGCCTTTGCCTCTGTAAGCAGCCCTGAGCCCTTTGGGGAGGGCGGGGTATAAATATAAACAATAAATAAATAAATAAATATAAATTTATCCCACCCATTCTGGCCTAGACTGGCTCAGGGTGGCTCACAAAGTGAGCTAGCAATCCAAAACAGTCCAGTGGCATCTTTAAGGCCAAGTTTTATTCAGGTACAAGCTCTCCCTCCTCTGCAAGAACAGATCTGCACGTCCCCCCCCCCATCGCTAGCAATCCAAAACAGTCCAATGGAGCCTGAGCGGTGGGTGTTGCCTTCTGACACACTTCCGTTGATGTCAGGGGGTGTGGCATATACAAATAAGTTATGCTAATGAGTTATGCTAATGAGCTCCTGCACCTCTTTTTCTACGAAATGACCCCTGACTACAATTCTTAATATTGGTCAGTTGGTGTATATATTCTACTCGCTCTTATTGGTCCATAACTAGGGACCAGTGGCCTGGGGGCCTGAGCAGTGATGGATCCTGATTGGCTGAAGGGTCCATGGCTGGAGGGTATATAAACCCAGGCATAGCCTAGTTAGAATCAGATAAGATCGTGAGCAGAAAACATTGGAAGGGAACTGCAAAAGAGCTGACTGGAATGGACAAAGAGAAGTCTGTAGGTTTATAGGGTTGCCAACTCTGAGTCATGAAATTCCTGGAGATTTGGAGGCAGGGCCAGGCTCCACCCCCCAAAAAATCTTCCCAACCCAACCCTAAGACTGGCAACCCTATTCCCTGCACACTGTGGCCTGATCTGAACGGAGCCTGTATGAATTTGGGAAGTGCAGAACATCAAGAAGACCATGTCTTAAGGACGCCAGCCTCCAGGTGGGACCTGGAGATCCCCTGGAATGAGAGCTCATCTCCAGACTACATAGATCAGTTCCCCTGGAGAAAAGGGCTGCTTTGGAGGGTGGACTCCGTAGCACTGTACTCCCCCCTGAGACCAGGGCCGGCCCCAGGTTTTTTTGCACACTAGGCGAGGATACCTTCTGGCACGCCCCCCCCCCCGTGCACCCCCCAATTTTCAAACATAAATGCATTTTAGGAAGAATGAACAACACAAAAGCTGAACGGTTGTGAGGTCGGTGGGGCTGAGAGAGCTCTTTCGAGGACTGCCCTTGAAAGAACAGCTCTGAGAAAGCTTGTGACTGAGCCAAGGCCACGCCAGCAGCTGCATGTGGAGGAGGAGTGGGGGAATCCAACCCGGGTCACCCAGATTAGAGTCTGCACTCCTAACCACTGATTCCTGGGGGTGGGGAGCCCAGTGGCTCCTGCTTTTCCAAGAGGAGGACGGCTGCGCTTCTGAGCCCACTGAAAGACCCGGCGGCATGCAGCAGTCACCCTCACCCACCCGGTCAAGAAAGTTGTAGGGCTTTTGTTGGGGGGGCTTTTGTTGGGGGGGCCAGGTGCCAGTTTGGTGCCCCTAAGGGCAGGCGCGCTCTAGGCGAGCACCTAGTTCGCCTAGTAAGCGAGCCGGCCCTGACTGAGACCCCCATCCTTCCCAGGCTTCCTTCCCAAATCTCCAGGGATTTCCCAACGCGGAGTTGGATGCCCTACCACCAACCCCTCCCCTGTCAATGGCTAGGGAGGACCTGGGAACCCTAATGTGTCTGCCCACCCAATCCAGCAAAACAAAATGAATACTTAGCCTCTGAGGCTCTTTCATTTGCTACGGCTTTTAACAGGATCTTAAAGACTATCTGGGCTCTGCATTTCAACTGAAATACCAGGAGATGCCCAGGCCTTGCCTGGAGACTGAAGCAACCCGAGCTGCAGTGTTAGGATTGTTGTTGTTGTTGTTGTTCAGTCACACAGTCGAGTCCGACTCTTCGCGACCCCATGGACCATCTCCCGCCAGGCCCCCCTGTCTTCTGCTGT